CTCGCGTTCCAGCCGCGCGTTGTCCCGACGACTCCTGTGCCGGGTTCCGTGTCGGGGTTGTAGGGAGGCGACTGGTTGAAAGGCTTGCTCGATCCCCGACTACATGGCCATTTTTTTTTCTTTTCCAACAAAAAACCCCGACCCCGTCCTCCTTAGCGCTAAGTGCTCATGGTCAGGACCCCGCACAGCGAACGCCCAAGGAAGTCCGCGGCGCTCACCTGCCCAGGTGCGTTGCTGCAGACGAGGTCACATTGGCTTGAAAAGGCATCGGTTTGCACTAACTCAGCGGTTCTCAACCTGTGGGTCGCGACCCCTTTGGGGGCCGAACGAACCTTTCACAGGGGTCGCCTAAGACCATTGGAAAACACATCTATAATTACATATTGTTTTTGTGACGAATCACTATGCTTTAATTATGTTCAATTTGTAACAATGAAATTGGGGGTCACCACAACATGAGGAACTGTATTAAAGGGTCGCGGCATTAGGAAAGTTGAGAACCGCTGTGTAACCTGTTCACAAAGGCCATGAGCCTATAATTCATTTGCCTGGATATTCGATTCCGGTCAAGGGCATGTACCTTGGTTGCGGGCACATCCCCAGTAGGGGGTGTACAGGAGGCAGCTGATCGATGTTTCTCTCTCATCGATGTTTCTGACTCTCTATCCCTCTACCTTCTGCTCCGTAAAAATTAAAAAAAAGAAAAGGCATCGGTTATTTGCTCGTGGCTTGTTGGAGGTTAGTTGGAGTGACTTCTGGTTAATTCTGTGTAATGGAAGGGAGCTGCTAGTGTGGCGGTATTGATCTTTTCTTGACAAGGAGGGAGGTATAGGGATTGCTTTGGCACCGTTTTACAAAGGGGGCGGAGGTCCAGCACAGGCAAGTCACTGGCCCGAGGTGGCAGAGCGAGCCCACGCCTGGGACCAGGTGGGTTTCCTGGCGTCGAGCTGGCTTTGGCTGCCCGAGTCCCGTGAGTTGTGATGAAAGCAGCCGAGTCTTGCGTTGTACCCAGGCAAAGTTGTGCTGGAGTGACGAGAAGTCATATTCCCTTCTGTTTGCTTCTTTTCTTCGTTTTTTTGTAACTAGGTTCAATTACATATAAAGTTCCAAGACAGATGGATAGTCCCAAAGGCGCACAACCCAATCAGGAAGATCGATGTCAATGGGTAAAGGACGGGATAGATGACTTAGGGGAAGAAAAACAACACAACTAATTAGCAAAGAACGCTTAACTTCGTTAGTAATTAAAGAAGTGCAGACTAGAAGTGAAGTACTTTGCCTCTTAAACCCCCCAAATTTTAATTTTTCAAACACTTTATTTTTCAATTACAGTTGACATTCAATATTATCTTAGTTTTGGGTGTACAGCATAATGGTTAGACAATTATATAATTTATGAAATGATCCCAGGATAACTCTAGTACCCACCTGGCACCATACATAGTTATTACTATATTATTGTCTATACTAGAGGCCTGGTGCACGAAATTCGTGCACTGGAGGGGAGGGAGGGTCCCTCAGCCCAGCCTGCGCCCTCTCACAGTCCTGGTCCCCTCGCTCCTTACTGCTCGGCTCGCTGCTCCTTAGCGCTCGGCTCGCTGCTCCTTAGCGCTGCTATGGAGGCCGGAGAGGCTCCCACCACCACCACTATGCTCGTCAGCCCAACTTCTGGCTGAGTGGTGTTCCCCCTCTGGGAGCGCACTGACCGCGAGGGGCAGCTCCTGCATTGAGCATCTGCCCTCTGGTGGTCAGTGAGCATCATAGTGATTGGTTGTTCCAGTTGTTCTGCTGTAACAGTCGCTTAGGCTTTGATTATATAGATGGAACTACCTGACAGTCAATGTGCCCCCCTGAGGAGTCCCGGATTGCGAGAGGGCGCAGGCCAGGCCGAGGGACCCCACCAGTGCACAATTGGGGCTAGGGAGGGACGTGGGAGGTTGGCCAGCTCGGGAGGGACCATGAGAGGGCTCCAGGGTGTGTCTGGCCCATCTTGCTCAGTCTTGATTGGCCAGACCCCAGCAGCAAGCTAACCTACCAGTTGGAGCATCTGCCCCCTGGTGGTCAGTGCATGTCATAGCGAGCGGTTGAGCGGCCTTAGCATATCATTAGCATATTACACTTTGGTTGAACAGACAACCAGACACTTGGCATATTAGGCTTTTATTCTATAGAACTAGAGTCCCAGTGCACGAAAATTCACGCACTGTGGGGGCTGTCCCTCAGCCCGGCCTGTGCCCTCTCACAGTCTGGGAGTCCTCAGGAGATGTGCTACTGACAGTTTAGCCGCAGTCTGGCCTCCCTCTGCAGGAGGTGACCAGGCCAGCCAATCAAGGGACAGCACTCCCATCACCCCGCCGCTGCTGCCTGGCC